ATTTTCCTGTGCCCTTAGCTCTGTGCCCTGGGGCCTCATGGACAGCGGCTGATCAGAGGTCAGCCCCCTGCCCCATCACTTATTAGCTATGAGATTTGGGGACAGTCACTTGTTGGTGGGGAGCTTGTTTGAATCGGGAAATGCTTTGATAAGCACGTCCTTAGGACGGCTGCCTTGGGAGTGGTGCCGCTGAGCTGGGACCAAAGGTGACTTTGGTTTGTCCTGTCCACCCTCCCGCAGGGGGAGGCCTGGTGCAGGACTCTGGGGGTTAAGAGCAGAAATGTCCAAGGGAGAATCATGAGAAGGGGTCTCTCCTCCTCTGCTCTCAGGACATCTTTAGTGACACACGCCCACTTCTCCCTAAAGCTTTCTGAGAGTTGCATCTCCTGCGGAAAGCTTCAAGGTGCCAAGTTCCGCTTCAAGGTGGCCTTGGATCTAGAGTAGAAGCGACTGCATCTGAGTTAAGTGAGTTTAGTCCGGTGCCCAATAAACAGCCCAAAGCAGGATAAAGCGTGTTCCGGTGTCATTGCACCATCCATAGTATGTTTGATAAACTAAGCAGCCCAGGTAATCGTCTGGGGCAATGGTTCTCAACCTCGGGTGACTTCGCCTCCCTCTCCCAGAGGACAGTTGTCAATGTCTGGAGACGCTTTTGGTTGTCATAGCTGGGGGAGGAGGGTGCTACTGGCACCACTGGGTGGAGGCCAGGGACAGCCCCACAGCAGAGGATTGTCTGTCCTGGAGGTCCATCGTGCCAAGCTGAGAAACCCTGCCCTGGAGCCTCTGCTGTGATGGTCGTCCCAGGAGTGAAAAATCGGGGAGCAATATTTGCACCATGCTGTGATGTCAGCGGGCTCCATTATTTCAAAAAAATTAGAAAAGCAAACAACTCTATTTATAAGCTTCTTCCTCTTCGCTGCTTTGGCCAGACAGCTAACAAACTTTACTATATAACCTGCTAAATGAGTTACTTAGTTTCAGGACAGAAAAAGCAAAGGCAATTTTTGCAGTCAGAGTAACCAGCAGCAAGATTTCTGTCTAGAGCTCAACAACCACCGCCCTCTGCTGGAGAATGTTATAACTGCTGCGTTAAGTGCGGAGAAAAAGTGGATGCAGGTTGTTCTCATTTGACAAGTGTCTGGGGCCACTGACTTCTTTTGAACACGTGATTGCCTACGAGGGTGGGGAGTGTGTTTATATGACCCATTTCTTTCTTATGTAGTACCCTAAAAGTTTAGATATTATTTGATAATGATTAAATATTCCTGTTCCTTCCCTATAAGCACAGAATTAATTCATGAAACGTGATCAGCAGTTAATGACAGAAACAGCAGAAGCAGATTCTCTGAGGCTCCCGTTTGCAGATGGTCGATCAAGGGACTACGTCCAGGCAGTTTATTCCGGAAGGTGATCAGGGACGGGGGCAACAGGGGAAACAGGAGCAGGGAAAGGCGCGTTATTGAGTTGGTCACCGCTGTGGGCACCTGGAGCTTCGTCCTGATGGCGCTTTCCGGGGAGCTTAGTAGAAAGCACCCCTGAATGCTCTGAGAGACCACATGACGAGCTCTTACCCACTTGCTCCCATCCCCTGATGGCCAAGGCCTGCCTCGAGGGGCTGTGGGTCGCTTTCACGCACTTGATGAGCGTGTGTGGGTGGGCTGTCGCCGACGTCCCCACTCGGTGCTGTGCAGAGCGGTGGGGCGAGTCCAAGGGGGTGAGAGCGGCTGTCTTGGACAGATGGGCTCTCTGGCTTCTTTGTCTCCTCCTTTCCTGGCTGGTGTCTTTGTTTTGGGGGAGCTGTTTTCTAGTAGTTTCGTCAGGTTCAAAACATGGTATGATGGCAGAAGGCACAGTGATGGTGATCTCTTGAGCCACTCGGCGGCCAGCTGGACGGGTTCCCCTCTGTGCCCACTGTACACTTGTTTTCCTGCTTGTCACCACTGTCCTGGATTGCTTGTGCTTCCTGGCTGGGTTGGACACCCTGCTTTCTACCCTGTCCCTTCTTTTGGGTTTGCTCTGTTTTGGGGACGTCCTCCACTAGCGCTTCCTAAGAAAGGTACTTTAGAACTTGCATGCCAGGAAATGTCCATATTCTAGTCTCACAGCTTATTAAAAGGTTGGGAATCACATTCTTTTGCAGTTTTGGGAGGCATTACTTGATTTCCTAATTCTAGTGTCATTGCGAAGTCCAAAGCTGAAACTCTGATTCTTGAGTTTTTGAAGTGAACTGTTGTTTTTTTTTTTTCCTTATCCCACCATCCTCAACCCAAGCTTGAAGTATCTTCTCTTTGGTGTTCTGAAATTTCACAGTGATGTGACTTTGATGTTGATTTTTATCCACAGGCCGGGTGCAGTGGCTCACACCTGTAATCCCAGCACTCTGGGAGGCTGAGGCAGGAGGATTGCTTGAGCCCAGGAGTTTGAGACCAGCCTGAGCAAGAGCAAGACCCCATCTCTACTCTATTTATTTAGAAAAAGTTAGCCGGGCATGGTGGTGCACCTGTAGTCCCAGCTCCTCAGGAGGCTGAGACAGGAGGATCGCTTGAGCCCAGGAGTTTGAGGTTTGCCATGAGCTAGGATGACGCCACTGTACTCTAGCCCAAGCAACAGAGTGAGACTCTGTCTCAAATAAAAATAAATACTACTTTCCTATCATCAGTGTTTCTGTTGCATTTTCTAGGAGATTTTCCTCAATTTTAATCTAATTCCTTTATTGAGTTTATCATCGTGCTTATTTGCAAAGTGGAGTTACTTTCTAGGCTTGCATGATTGCAAGCAGGTTTTTCACCCACCTGAACGTGCAGTCCTATGGAATGTGGGACGCTTCTTTGGTTTACAGGACTGTTTCATGGTTTGCGAGACAGCTAATACTTCTGGCCCTTGAGAGCTCAGTGCCTGTAATGTTTCCAATTCTTTTTGACCATAAAAATGCTCTCACAAAGTTCCAAAATTGCCCCCTAACATTGGGATTCCCCCAGGGAGAATGCCGGTTATCATATCTGGTAGATAATGAGGAAGCCTACCTCCCTCTCTGCGCTGGCTGGCACAGAGTTCTGGTTGAATGTCACTGATGTGAATCTTTTTAGATAGAAAAGAGACAATGTCCCTCAAGGGAGAGAAGCCAGGATTAGATTGGGCCCACGGAACCAGTGTGGACGATATTATGACAATGTTTCTTGAGTAGAAAACAAACTGTCTTTGCTGAGAACTCTTTGTCCTGTATGTTAAGGGTCCTGAGTCTTCCACTTGCTGATTTATAAAACAAAACTTATTTGGATCTTTGGCAGAGGGAGTTCCCCAGATCCTTGGCCAAAATTGCTCCTAAAACAATGACATCATTTGACTGGCTCAACGGTCTAAACAGGCAACCCCTTTGGGGACCTGCGTTCTGGAAGAAACTTATTGTTGAGCTGTACTTGAGGAGTGGGCACGTGTTAGTACCCTACTTATAAAAATAAAATGTGATGTTGCATTCACTTCCAAACAGTCCAGGGTGTGGGGAGGCGTGTGTGGGTAGGGTAGATGAAGCAAGATTGGCCGTGAATTCATCATTGTTAAAGCCGGGTGGCGAATACATGGTGGTTTATCACACTTTCTCTTGACTTTTGTTTAAAATGGTTTAGATTAAGAACCATCTTTTAAAATGTGCCATTCTAGGTTAGAGTCCTGTGTCTGCTGGTAGGCAAGGTGGGGGACAGCATATTAAAGTTGATATTGATGCTAAAGAATGACAGAAACTCCAGGAATTGCCTCCAAATACTTTCCTATACCCTGTTTTAAGGTGGTGCGTTTGAGAGCTGAAATTAACAGCCCCTAAGGAAACCGGATACCTTCTTCCAACACCTGCTGGCTGCAGATCTTTCCAAGGCAGGCTTGTCATTGATCATAAGAATCTGTCATCTCTAAAAAGTGAGTCCCAGTCATTGCTTCCCCACCAGGTTCCCCATGATTTATTTTAAAAAACAGAAACAAACTTGAAATAGGTCTTTAAAGGAACGAAGCGACGTGATACCAGAGGACCCGCCATTCATTAGGGCCGGCGTCTGTCTGGATTCCGGTTCGTGCCCCGGGGCAGCTGTCGGTGCGGGAGGGGTATTGAAGTGGGATTATCTGAGCCTTTGCCGTTGCAAAGATGGATGGTTTCTCAGTGGAACCTCTTCTCCTCACGGTGACCAGGCATAATATTGAGTAAAATAATGGTCAGAAAGAACATCGCCGGGCCCCTAATGAGAAGCTGTTGACAGAAAAATTGCTCTAACATTCATCAAAAAGCCAATAAATGCCAAAGAAGGGACCGGAGCTGTAGTAGCTCATAAATTCCTTCTCTGGGGGCCTCTGGAAGGGAGTTTTGGGACAACACACCTGCTCTTCCTTCCCCGAATGCTGCTAAATAAATTTCCAGAAAGCCTAGAACACTGATGGGGTGGTTGGCCCTGTTAGTTTGGGGGGATGTCAACAGGAAGGCCACTCCGGCATTTGGTCAGAGGATCCTGTTTTGGGTCCCGGGACTGTCTGGGTCTGTATCTTTCTAGTCGTTTTCATGTGTGGAATGTCCCAATTCGTAAGTTAGAGCCGAGATCGCCTCCCGCTTGCAGAGCCAGAGCTTACGTGGCCGGTGCCATTTGCTCCCTGATGAGTCAAAGTGGACTCTCCCTTGCGATTCCTGCAGTACTTATGGCCGATGCTGTTCATGTAGCAACCAGTCCCGCTGCTTCATTGCAACACGCCTTGCGTTGCTAAAGCATGTGTGCGAACACCTCTGTGCTGTCAGGAACAGGGTGCTTATGCGTGCTCAGAACAAACCAGCTTCTGCACTCAGTTTGGGTCCCCCCAACGGCAGACACTGAATCGAGGACTTGCAGTTGTAGTCCCAACTGCTAGGGAGGCTGAGGCAGGAGGATGGCTTGAACACAGGAGTTTGGGGCTGCAGTGAGCTATGACCACACTACTGCACTCCAGCCTGGGCGACAGAGCGAGACCTCGTCTCTAGATTGCCAAGAAATAATCATCTTTAATAAAAAATGTTTAAAAAACTTAAAAATCCAATTATTCAACTGTTTCCCCAAATATAAGAACTACATTTGGTCTGGATTCTTTGGCGGAAGCTGAGCACAGTTTGGAAATGTGTCTGGGGGGGATGGTTCTTCATGGGTGGGACGTGTGTCCTACATCCCTCCCGCCTCTCCCCAGTGTTTTTATCCTCACATTCGGCCCGGAGTTCCAGATTTCACAGACGCTTGGATGGCAAGGAAACCCGTAACAGAAGCACCAGGCGCCCACTCTGTGGCTGTCAGCGTGGGCAAACAAAGACAGAGCTAACTGATTTTTTTTTTCCCTTAGCTTACGGTGTGGTTGGGAAGACAGAATTACCAGTCTCTATAAATATTTAATGTATTTAAATCACATAAGATTATTCCAAAGCCATAGGCATGATTTTTTTCTCTTTCAAATCAAGATTTTCGGCGTGGAGAGTATTGTGGAGATGTGAAATGTCTCACTTCTCTTGAGCGACCAGAATTAACTCCTCCTTGGAGGACATTTCTGAATAGGGTCAGGTCATCCTTTCTTGCCTCGACTGGGCAGTGGGACCCCCTGCTATGTGAGGGTGGCTGCTCACCTAAGGCGCTGGGAAGGACCCTCGTGCCCGGCCTTCTGCCCTGGGTGGCCTGCCTCGGGGGCTCACCAGCCTCCCGCCGAGTTGGCACCTCAGTTACTCTCCACTCATCCTCTCCCCATGAATTCATGGCTTTTAATATTATTAAAAGGACTATCATAAAGGACTGTCATAAAGGACTATTAATGTGAAACCAGTATTAATAAAAGCAGCCTGTCAGCTGTTGAGAGGCAGCGGCAGTGGCTGGGATGGGGAGGCAGGCGGTGGGCTCCGCGCCGGGGGTCCGTTCTCGCGGGCTCAGTGGGACCAGACGGGCCTCCTCTTCTGCAGGAAGGCCGTGATCCCCTCCTGCCCGTCCCGCAGGGCCAGGTTGTCCACCATGGCCTGGGAGGTCAGGCAGTAGGCCGTCTTCAGGTCCTGGGGCAGCTGCTTGTAGAAGGTGGCCTTGCCCAGGGACACCACGGGGCGGCTCAGGGAGGCGATCTTCGTCGCGATCCTCACGGTCTCTTCCTGCAGCTGCGGCTCGGGCACCACCTTGCTGAGCAGCCCGTGCAGCAGAGCGTCCTGCGCGGAGATGGGCTCCCCGGTGAAGAGCATCTCCAAGGCCACCTGGGGGGGAGGACACAGGTCATTAAGGCGCTCCCCTGCGACCCGCCCTCTCCACTTCACTCTGACCGCCCTGTTAAAACTGTGCAACAAACCCCAACACTGTGTCCCTTGCCGGCTAAATTTTTAACCTTTGCGCTTTCCCCCCATTTAACAAACTATATATTTTACATGTTTATTGTGTATCTCCTTTGCTTGCATGTAAACTCCAAAGGGGTAGGATTTTTTATTTTTTAAAGTCTTGTTCATTTCTGTACCTCCAGCACCAGAAGACTGTCTTGCACACAGTAAGCAACCTACTAAGTATTTACGAATGAATGAATGAGGCAAACAGCGCAGCACAGGCGACCCTTGGTTCCTCTGAGTCTAGGTCAAAAAGGTGGTGCAGCTTCCACCGGGCTCTCTCCTGAACCTGCAGCCGTGCTGTGAGAACTGGGGTGTTGAACCGTGTGCTCTCCAAGCTGCGTTTCTCAAACTCTGGCCACGTAAGTCACCGCCAAGATGCGGTCTGGGGCAGATCTGAGACTCAGCATGTCCCCCAGGGGCTCTGGGGTCTGCGCAGCAAGGCTTTAGCCCTCTCCAGCTTGGAAACCTGCTCTGTTCTCGTGAGACTCTTAGGCAATCAGATTCTACAGTCACACAAAGCTGCTATGGGTAAACCGGGAGGCGAGGCTTTCTACCTCGGAAAATGACTGGTGTGGGACGAAGGGGCTCTGATTTGTCACGTGCTGTCTGGTGAGGCCAGCTGCTTGGGGCCTGGCTGGGCCCGGGGAGGGGAGCAGCTGCACCAGGCCGCGTGCCCATGTGGCGCAAAGAAGATGCATTAGTTAACACGCCGGAGGAGAGGAGCAGTTTACAGACGGGGAAAATTATTCCCGTCCGGGCTAAGAGTGGTTGCAGCGCGCAGCTCCACCGCTCGCTTTCTGCACCCCGGGGACAGATCTCGGCTCTGGGTCTCTAGCGCAGCCGAGCAGGCAGGTCCCCGGGGCGACCAGCAGAGGGCGCCGGAGACCCACGCTTGTCGGCTCAGCAGGCGAGATGAGGGCGGCAGTTTCCGGTCCGGTCAGTTTGCAGAAGCACCTGCCGGGCTGCGCGTGGGACCCGCGCCCGTCGCCCCCGTGTGCCCCGTGCGTGGATGCGCTCCTACGCATGCGGTGACTCACAGGCGACTGGCAGGTGTTTTGGGTCGGGTTTAGATTTTTATGAATCCCAATTTTTCCTCTCCAAACAAGCCACGCAGGTCAGATCTGCAAATGCAGAAGCCCGGCAAAGGCCTTGAGTTCCAGCAGACTTTTCCTCCTGCAGAATTCCCTTTATCAGTAACTGAGGTTTCTGCGCGTTCGTGTGGACCCCAAACCGCATCCCTGGTTCATGGCCCCAAGTAGCCCAGCGCTAATGAGCCCGAGATGCAAAGCCGTGTATCGCCAGGGCCCTGACCCCCTTTCTGAAGTCTCAAGTTGAGCGATTCAGGGGCCTTCTGGGGGTCAGAACATGAGGAGCAGAGAGCAAGATAGTCCGGGACACTCTTTGTCCCGTGTTCTAAGAAGGCCTGGATCTTGCCAACACTGTCTTTGCGGGGGTGGGGGTGGGGTGGGGAGGAGGTAAAAGCTACTTTGTGTCTTACGACATCCTGCCCTTTAATCTGTGTCACCCGACAATTATGCAATGTGGTTTTCAGGACTGGGCGTCCTTGGAACTTAAGGCCTGTTTTTGTCCCATTTCCCCCTCTTTCTTCTCAAAAACTAATTTAAAATTTGATAAATATTTGGTGTTAAGTTTCTAGGAATCAATTCTAATAAGCCTTGATTTCAAAAGTTTGTTTTGAGAAAGAATGGATTCTTCTCCTGACAGCAGGGCTGATTTAAAGGTTTCAAATGCTGGACTGTGGAACCTTCCAGCGTGTCAGGTGTTCAGGAGGACAAACAGCTCTAGGCAGGCTAACGGAACCGGTATAGCCACCTTTCACTATACAAAGTCCTCACGATGTGATTTGCACAGTTATAAGATAGTTTATGAATAAGCCCTGACAATAGATTTGTATTATAACGTTTTCGTTTAATGTACTGGCACAACGTAGGGACTTGAGAAGTATTTACTGAATGAATATCTATACTTTTTGCTTATTTATTTATTTTTAGAGTCAGAGTTGCACTCTGTTGCCCAGGCTGGAGTGCAGCGGCACGTTCATAGCTCACCGTAACCTTGAACTCGGGGGCTCGAGTGATCTTCCAGTCTCTGCCCCCGCAAAGTGCTGGGGTTGCCTGTGTGAGACACTGCGCTCAGCCAAATATCTATACGTTTAAGGTAAATGTCTATCTTGACAGAATCAAAACACCCCTCAGTCTGAGACATTTTAGCAAGCTGTCACCTGTCTGTGCGGAGCCCTCTCCAGCCAGTTTTCCCAGGTGTGTGAGCTTGCAGGTGTACTGCCCTGAACCTCTCAGTCCTACTGCTGACGTCCCCTTGGGTCTCATTTCTTTTGTGCCTTGGGCATGTGAGCAACTGCCAGTTTTCACAGTTGATGCTAAAATAGACAATATATTCTAGAAAGCAATTTAGATTTCCTGCTTGGTGTGGTATATGACTCTGCCCCCCTTTTTACAGATTTCCAGCTGAGAACAAGAATGCACTTTTTCTAGAACAAGGGCACTGTTGGTTTATACTTAAGGGATGTCCTGTAAATATTATTTTGTGACGTTATAGAAGGAAGTAGGCTTTGTGATGAAAATGGACTTCACCGTAGTTAGCAATGACAAAACCACTTTGCAACGTGGCTCCTCCTTGGGCAGACTCGACATACCGTGCACAGGATATTCATGTTCCTGAAACGCAACTCTGCGTAAACCCAACACACTCAGTAAATCGGCTGCTTTAAGTCCTTTCCGGAACAAGACAGATGGTCGATGAATAGTAAGCCGGCGACACTACTATCCCAGCCTCTCGATGCTGGCGTTCTGTCAGCACGCTATCATATCTCACGGGCACCATTCAGGGCAACGAAACTGATTCTCAACGGCATTTCGTATAAGATTGCAAAAATATGTGCCTTTATGAAAACAAAACAAATTTAAAAACCTAAGTAGTTGTACCGAGGGGCATGCAAGATGGAAATGCAGTGGCTTTACAAATTAGTGTAAGAAGCTACAGGGGAACAGGCAGGCAGGTGGCCCTGCCTTCCCTGACAGTGGAAGGACCGTGGTGGCACATCCAACCGGATGTGCCTTGGGCGGCATACCCTGGTACGAATGGCACTTTAAACAAGCTAATTCTGAAAAGCCACACGAACTGGAGGACGGTCTCCAGAGAAGGATCCGGGGAGGTTAAATTACCTTTCTGGGCACTGCTCTCCCCAGGGCAACCGCGGGGGTGGAACAGAAGAGCCCGACGTTCACCCCAGGAGTGGCAAAAGAGGCCTTGTCGCTGGCCACGGCAATGTCACAGCTGGCCACCAGCTGACAGCCGGCAGCTGTGGCCAAGCCATTGACCATGGCAATGATGGGGACGGGGTGGTTCCGGATCAGCATCATGACCTGTGGGAGCAAACACACGCGTTCACTTCCATGCGGAGTGAGGCATGACGTTAGCACCCATCACTTTATGTAGGACTTTACTGTTTGCAGAGCACTTTTCGGATGTATTAGTTCATCAGATTCTATGAAAAAAGGCACAAAAAGCACCGACTCGTAATGAAATATCTACTCTGAACCAGACTGTATAATCTGTTCTTCCTGAGAACCCCATGAAGGAAGAACCCCATTTTGCAAAAAAGTCGCTAAGCTCTGAGGGGGACGTCACCTGCCTGAGGCCACCTGGCAGGACACGGGAAACTGGGGGATGCAGGGTCTGTGGCCCCAAGACTAGCTTTGCGAGGTGGCAACACACCCCCAACCCCACACCCTGGCTGCCTCCGGGCAACCCCACCGCAGAACAGTGTGGATTTTTATCTCTGGGGAACAAACAAAGCCCTTCACAAGCAGCTCAGTTCTCACCCTGCCTGTGTGTGGCTCTTGTGTTAAAAAGTCTGAAACTGGTATTTGGTGCTTCCTTGAAAAATGAAGGTGGAAAAGGGACTTGAAGGCAATTTCCTTAGTAATTACTTCTCAAATTAGCACCAAGAATACTCTTAATTCTGTTAAAATGGGGGTGGGGGGCAGGCCCTGCTGTCATCAAAATAAACAGAATTCCTAAAACAGAGCCGTTGGCACAGAGAGGTGAGACGAACATGTGCTCGTGTGACCCCGGCCCCCGCCACAAATCCCCAGAACTTTAACTTAGGTTTGCGGTTTGTTTTTTCATGACACTCTAAACAGATTGTGTTGCCATGGTAACTTCAATTTCTAAATTGGTGCTCTTTGAACCTCTGCAGGGAGGGAGGGAGGATAGGAACTAAATCTGGGTTTCTTTCCCCAAGGCAGCAATTGAAAGAAAAAATAACCTTCATTGATTTGAAGGTTTTGTCTAAGAAATAGATCTTTTATATTCGTAAGCATTTGATATTGTTAGCTTTATTCTCAAATAACCAGTTCTATATTGAAGGCTGTGGTGTCTTATTCTAGAGTGGTGGTTTTTGACTTTTTGCAGGGAGGGGTCACCTTTTGAGAATCTGATAAATGCTAATGACCCTCTCCCCTGTACTTACCTGTACACAAAACTGTGCGTGGATATAGGGGGTTCGGGCATCCTAAGTTGAGGTTGGGGACAGGTTGGTGATAGACTCGTTCCCAGTGAAATGGAATAACAAGGGGAGGGATTCACAAGAATTTCTAGTCTTGCTACAAAGAAAGATTTTTAGTTCTGAGTGTTGTCCATCCCTCAGAGAACTCAAGTGACTTAGGAAAAGCCTGCTGATTGGGATTAGAGTTGAACAGTCTCAGTGTCCTGTCTGCCATCCGTGGGCAGCTCGGAATTCACAAAACCCAGTAGAAAAATACTTAGGTAATGCAGTATATGTTCGACAACATTAAAAATGCTTACACCTTTGATCTAGGGAATCTACTTCTGAGAAATAATCTGAAATGGGTAAGAAGCTGTATGGTCAAAGATGCTTAGCAAATCATTGTTTTATAATAAAAAACTATAAATCATATAAATATACAGAAATAAGTAAATGGCCATGTAAACTAAACTATAGCCATTGAAGAACATGCTGTATTCTCATTAAAATGAAATTTTCCAAAGGAAATACTAGTATGGCAGTCTGAAGCTTGCTGCCTAACCCTGGATGAGTCACTTAGCCCCTCAGTTTTCACATCTGTAAAATGGGTATAATAATAGTACCAACCTTACAGGATATGACAGTCATGCACATTAATTGTGCCTAAAGTACTTAAAATGTCATCTGGCATATAATAAGCATTCAGTGCTATAATCATATTATACAAAATTCACACTATAATGCCTATATATGACTAGTCAGACAAATAAGTACATAGGAAAAAATGATTTAAAAGAAATGGGCTCAGATCTAGGCTTCCTAGAAAAAAGAAATATAAAATGTAGTTCTCTCTAGGTGGTATGATTATGGTATGGCATCAGTAATTTATTTCTCTTTTATTTTTCTAGATTTTCAAAATTTTTTTTACAATAAGTACTTATTACTTTCATAATTGAAAAAGTATTTTAAATAAAGTTAGAGAGTGGTTCAGAAGAGACAAAGTATAATAAATATAATAAACATTTATAATATAATAAACTAGGATAGTGAAACCTTAGACAGTAAAAAATTGGTTATATTTCCTATTTGCCCTTCCCGAATTAAGTGCCATTTTTGGTTCTGCTTACTCCAAAATATGACAATAAATTGAACTCTGCCCTCGCCTCCTTTAACAGCGTCACTGAGGATTCCAAGTTATTTCCAAAAGCGAAAGACCTTGTCCGATTGTCATTTTGTTTTTGGGGTGTAAGAAGTAAGAGAAGGATCGCTCCTGGACTTGAGTTTCCATCTCCAAACTTCAACAGGATATTAGGACAGAGACAAGGGACAAGTGTCTAGCAGAAGCCACCAAATCAGCCCCGCAGAAGATCACGTTCACTCTTCCACAACCAAGTTCTCATTCTTTTCGTTCTTAATCTGCCCTGCTCCTGATCTGTAAATAATTAACTATCATGCAGTCCTCGTGGTCTGTAACAAATCTGCTGTAGTTTTTAGATGCTGAGCTAATTCAGATACCTCTATCTGCCTTTCTAAAAATCAAATTTTCTCATGCATGAGCGGAGCGATGAAATATCTAGCTCATTCTGTTCCAATCTGCCTGTTGATTACGCTTGGAAATTGAAACCTTGCCCAAGTTCATGTTGCTTATATCTATCCAAGACAATCTGATTTTCTTAGAAACAGTATTAGAGAAATCAATACACCTTCACTCCTATCTTACCACTTTCGGGCCAGGGCCTGTTTATGCACTGAGTCTTTTTCTGGGAGCTTCCAAGGAATCTGGCCTTTATCCTCTGAAGCAGCCCTGGTTCCCCCGTGGCCCTCTGCTAACCCGTTTAGATCTCGGGTCTTGACGTTACCACGGCAGAGTGATAAAACCAGACCCTTGAGGGAGGATAGACGAGCTCTACTGGTTTTCCTTGATGCCTTTCTTTAGCCAAACATACTGCATGTCAGAAAAAAAAAAAAAAACTTTTAAAGCACCAAGCCTTGGCAAACCCAAGAGCAGAATGTCACATGAACATCACTGGCGTAGGAAACGGGAGAGCTAAGTCTCAGTTCCAGCTCACGTCCACCTCCACATGGAGCTTCAAGTAAATCACTGTCCTGTTTGTCTTTCTATGAAATGAGAAAAATATAACTGGATCTCTTTGCGGGTTTCTGGAAGGGCAAGGAAAACAAGTGGTGGTCAAGAGCGTATCTCAGTCACCTTTGCTTTGACCTCCCTCTTGGCTCACCTGTGTTGTCGGCAGAGCAGGGATCGTGACATATTTGGTGGATTAATGACCACGTGAATGGATAAGTCAATGAATGAATGAAAAGTTAGTTTAGGGTCAGGTTACAAAATTGCTTTGTTTGTCTCGTTTCCCTACTAGATTTCCAGGTTCAGTTTGGCAGCAAACTTTTTTAACTCTTATATTTTCCTCAATACCTGGCAAGTACCTGCATTATGTATCTCGTAGGTGTTCAATGCTCATTAAGAGAACAGTGTGTTGCTATTACGCAGGGTTGATCTGATGCATTTATAAACCAACCAAAACTTTTTGTACCTCTTTTTCCTCTGTGGCTGTTGGCAATTTTCCTCCTTAATGTGGCGAAAGAGGCAGAAAAGAAGCAAAAACGAAGAGGTTAATTTTCCTACTTGGAGGTGGTGATTATAAACGTTGGTTGAAAGATTTGAAAATAATTTTCAAAGCCACCATTGTTGTTCCATGTGTGAATGCTTTCTTTCCCGTTTAACGGAGTTGTTTTGGTTTAATAATTTTTAAAATGATCATGATCATAGGTTCTTCCTCTCTAAAGATATGCATTTGCACCTTTTACCTTTTACTGAAACTTGTGTACCAAGACACACCCCCACAGTGCTGGAGACAGCAACTATGAGTACATCGTATATTCTACTTTCTTTAGCACAAAACGAAATCAATAGCAAATTATGGTCACTTCTTAACAGTCTCAACCAAATAATTGCTTGGATGAGGGATCTGAGGACCACAGAGTTTTCAGCTGCTCTTGGGTGTTAGGGCTCGCAGATAAAATCTTACCCGTAAACCAGACGGCTAACCCGACATTAATACAGTGATCACTTTGAGGTTTGCAACATGGGCCGACACCCGGCTTACCTCGGAACACGTCTGAAACACTTCAGCATGGTAGTCTCGGCCTTGCTCACTGGTCAGTTCCTTCAGATCATGCCCAGAAGAAAAAACAGGCCCCTCGGCTGCGGATGTTTCCAATTGAGAAAAGAAAAGGAAAAGATATCAACGGCCAGAGGCGAGCAGTTCACTCACTTGTCTGCCGAATAAGGGCAGCAGACTTTCGTGGAGAGAAAGTTAATGGCTCCATTCTGATAAGACTAATTCCGGTGCACTTGAAATGTTACAGCCAGAATTTTGTTATGAAAAATGCAAGGTGAGGCACCTGTATCCTCAAAGTCTAGAATGAAAACTGATAAAAATATGCAATTGCACAAGAAGGCTCGGGAACCAAGGTGAAGGTATTTTTAATAGAGCTTTTGTGACTTGGTCTGGCCTGAGTGTATCAGCTCATGTGGGCCCATCAAACCCCCCCTATGCCATAGGCATTACTCCCATCATCTATCCCTGTGGTCTCCAACCCCTGGGCTGTGGACCAGTACTGGTTCGAGGCCTGTTAGGAACCGGGCCGCACAGCAGGAGGTGAGGGGCCGGTGAGCAAGCGAAGCTTCATCTGTGTTTACAGCTGCTCCCCATCACTCGCATCACCGCCTGAGCTCTGCCTTCTGTCAGATCAGTGGCAGCACTAGATTCTCATGAGCACAAACCCTCCTGTAAACTGCGCATGCGAGGGATCTAGGTTGTGCTCCTATGGGAATCTAATGCCTGATGATCTGAGGTGGAGCTGAGGACTGGGGAGCAGCCGCAAACACAGATTATCATTAGAGAGGTCTGACTGCACAGAGACTGTAATAAATCAATTGCTTGCAGGCTCATATCAAATGTTATACACTCGAATCATCCTGAAACTGTGCCCACCCCACCCCTGGTCCGTGGAAAAATTGTCTTCCATGAACCTGGTCCCTGGTGCCAAAACGGTTGGGGACCACTGATTTAGCCTACGGGCAGGAGCCAGCCATACGGGCTGAACTGGGAAGGTCGGAGTGTAAAGAGGTCTCTGGAGCCATCTGGCTCAAGCTCTTGATTTTACAGATGAGCGATCCATGGATGTGGCAGCTGTCATTGTCATCAACGACAACACAATGTCGTTCCACTCATGAACTGATAACACTTTCTCATATTTCCTTTTGTTGTGGTTATTTTGACAGGCAATACTATTCTCTATTTACAAGTGAGGAAATCTTCTAGTTAAAAAGCCAGTTGCCTTTGCTGTGTCCACGTAACATCCTACATGGCAGCTGAACTCTACTAGTTCTGATTTCTCTTTCCACCGCCATATAACACAACTGCGAATTTTAGTTTAGTAAACCCTTGATAACATTCTGAGTATCGGGTGCCAAAAGCACTGATCCTTATTTGCAAAATAAAGCATCACAGAACATCATCCACTATATTTTTCTGGTAAGAACAGAAATGAAAAACCAACCAAACACTCGAACGGTCAGGTCCTAGCTGACTAGCTAATCTACCAAAAGGACTAGTGATTAAACCCATTTTATAAAGTCCATGAAGAAATCAATTCTCTGATTTTGATGGGAAGACCAGCATAGCCAAGCACAAAAACGTTCAGTCTCTGACAGTATTTTCACTGAACAGGAATCTTTACTAATTTCTGCAGTTAGTAGTGTTAGGGCCAAGTCCCAACTACACAAGAGTTTTCCATAATTAATGCTCTTGTAAAGGAGCAACAATTCTCCAGTTAAGGGAAGACCCCAGTTAACCAAAGAATTGTGAGAAACCTCTTCTGGCCACTGCAGAACACTGAGGACGGATATCATTCTATACCTGAAATGACAATGACTTTCAGATCATTGCTTTCGGCTTCATGAAGAATGTCATTTTGCAGAGACTTCAGCATTGCAAGTGACAAGGCATTCCTCTTCTTCGGATTGCTCAAGACAATGTTCCTGTGAAGAACATTTTACAATCACTGGTCATGCACTAGTCAAAGCGAGTGAGGACCCCCGCAGTTCCTCTCTAATTCGGGAGCTATGTGTAAAAACCCAAGGAGAGTGAACGGCAGGCGCTTAGTGCCAAGGTGAGGGCTCTGTGGCTCTCTGGAGTTACCGCTAAGTCACAACAAGAAAAAGACGCCCTGAAATGCAGGCTGGTTTTTCTCCTTCCTCCCTTGATTTATCTCTTTGTCTCCACACTTGCTGTCAGAGACACGACTGCCACCTCCACAGAGAGGGCAAGTCACAGCGGTCCCCAAATCATCGCCACCTGTACCGAGAGGACGCGAGTTTTGTGTGACAGCAGCAGGAGTCGGGAAAATCGGACAAACAGTGGCTGCCGTCAGCTCACTCCTTTCCATCGTTCTTCAGAATAAGGTTGGGGAAGGAGGCAAGACTGAAAATACCCCCCAAGACTCCCCCGCCCCGCCCCAAAGAAAGGGCAGCTGAGGTATAGCCGCTGATAGGCTTATACGACATAATTTTTTCACCTTTTTTTAAATAGTGGCATCCTGTAATTCTGCAAAATAATTCGTGCTGAGGATGGGATGATACATGAAGAATAAAAAGACAAAGCCATACAGCTCACGAAAAGCTGGTATTCAAAGGGCCTGCTTGCTATTTTAGGGTATCCCATATGCCGAATAAAATAACCTGTATTGTCATGTGCTGTCTGTATACAGAAATGTCTTATTTTCGCTGTTATAAGAAATAGGCAATGAGTCACAGACCAGATTATTCTACACATTGTTTCCTATCAGTCTCCACTGCTGGTTTTCTGCCTTTTTCATTCTTTTTTGAGTCTGATACTCCTACTGCTATGTCGTCAACTCGGACCCTCCATAAATAACGTTCTGTTTCATGGTTTTCTGGAAGACACCTTTGATGACCGAATTCGTTTCAATGCCATGAGAGTAACCCCTTTCTTTGGAATACCGTTTCAATTTTGCAGCAGTCTTCAGGTGGCTGCGCTGTTCATCCTGTTGTTTCTCATAGACATGTTCTCTCTTAAGTACAAAAATTGCTTGCAGCTGATATGCTGATAGACTTCAAAACCTACCTTGGGGGAGGTGGTGAGAGAACTACTTATAAACCTTTCAATAAAATGATGAGTATGCCTGTTGCAGCAACTACAAAAAGCTTCCACCCCATCGGTGACATATGCTTAAATGAAATTCTAAGGCCTCAGGCAAATCGTGTAAAGGGACTCCAGCCCCCGACCACCCTTGCAGCATGGCAGTGTCTGTTCATGCGCGTCCCGTTAGTCCTCTGGCTCGCACATCACACGCACTGCCAGTGTTCCAAACTGCTAGTTCACCAGGCTTCTGTTCCTACCACGCCACCCAGACTGTTCTCACTTGTACTCTCCTAACTTGCAGATCCAAATCCACCCGCCATCTTGATCACGCTCTTCTTCTGGAAACAGGTTTCTTCTCTCCTGGTTGCTTTGTACTCCTCTGGCCAGTCCTTCTTGACTTCTTTCGTGGGCTCCCAGCTCTCTGCTAACCCCTAAATGTCAATGATCCCCAGAGTTTAATCCTTTGCCCTCTTCTCATTCCATACGCTCTTCCCGGGAGACTTGACCAATGGCCTTGATGTCAGCTGCCACCTCTATGCTGAGCCCCAGGCCTACGTGTCCACTCCAATGTCTGCTGGACTCCACCTACGTGTTCCTTGGGCATCTCCCCACAGCCCCAAACTTGCCCCTGTCCTCTTTGCCTTACCTCAGCGCTACCACTCAGTTGCCCAAGCCAGAAACTGAAAGTCATTCTAGGTCTCCATCCCTTCCTTATTCAACTGCTCGTCAAACCCTGTTGATAATGCCTCCTAAAAATCTCACTAGTCTGAACTCTCCCAATGGCTATCTTGGTTCAAAACACACAATGCCCTGCGTAGAGAGCTCCACAAACACTACCTATCAGAAGAGGAAACCTCTTTAGGAATGAAGTCACTGTGAGTGTAGGTAGGAAAGTAAGACAGGAGCAGAGGAAGCACAAAATGGGTAGTGTGAACAAAGGGGACACTGAGTAAGAGAACATACTGTCACAACAAGATAAGGGTAACCACAAGTGTCACCAGAAACGTAACAGAAACAACCCAGGGCACGTTGTATGACATTACAGTTTGCTCACCCACCCACAGTGGGCTCTGGGTGCCATGACACATCTGGGCCTAACCATATAAGATGAAAAACTCCCCTGCCCGACAACAGGAAGATGACAACATCCCCATTGGTCAAAAACGAAAAAGGTGGTGGGGTGGGAAGAGACAATGTCATGTAGGAAGAGAGGCCAGAAGAAAGAAAAGAAGAAACCTAAAGAAACCTGAGTGCTACTGTCTGCGGGGACATGTGCCCACTCCTACCCCTTTTGGAGTGTACTGTCGCTTGCCGATTAAGCTTTGTGCCTGCTTACACAAATTGCCATGTCCCTCACTTTCGTGCTTCGATGACAGGGAGACAAGAACCGAGGTGTTCACGTCAACAGCTGGTAACAGTCACCACCGGGGGATGTGATAAAAGTCTTGTGGCAAGAGATGGTCCCTACAAATGCCCCAGGAGCTGTCTGAAGATCGATGTAAACCATGATAAGGTCCTCGAAGTGAGGGACTGCCAGGTTCACACACAAAGACGCTCAATATCTGCTGACTGAATGACAAAAACCAGCATTTCTGTTTTTCACAGCCAATTCTACTGATTGCAGTGGACTGACCCCACATCCAGGTTTTCACCATCTCTTCTACACCCAAGTGGTGAGTACTAAGATGGCAACGCAGGAATAACTTTGGGGGCAGAGGGACCTCTCTCTGATTCCTGGGGATCCTGCCTTCTGGCTGAGTGCCTTGAACAGGCTGTCACCTCTCTGAACTTGTGTCCTTGCTGTAAAGCGGGGATAATATCTATCTTGCAGGCTGTTGTTAGACTTAGGCACTCTGCATGCATTACCCCTAACACAGTACCCAGCTCAGAGCTGGCCCTGCCTATAAGACAGCAGCATTCCTGGGAGGAACAGCTTTGAAAAGGGACATTTGAAGAGCCACCGAATTGCTCAAGCTCTCCTGCTTAGCGCCTGACATAGTACTGCTTAAATGCTTGAGTCAGGGGTTTCCTTCTACTAAAGATTCCTAACAGTTATGATAGATCGTTCCAGTCACCTCCCTTTCTGGTTCCTGTTTAACTCTGAGGAACTCATCTGGCCTCCTTCTGTCATCTGTGCCCAGAAGGCAGGCTTCTGACCAGATGTAACTAGATTTACAGAAGAAGAACTACCTTTAAAAATGGACAAGAAGGACCCTGTGTGGGCCCTGCACTTTGGAGCCCAGCTCTGGCCTTCTTCCCGCGGGGCCTGTCCCTATAGACGAGCGAGGAGTCCACAGGGAATGGAATCATCCCCCTTCCAAACTCTGCTGCAGTTACCCAGACCCCGGAATTCCCTGCCCCTGCAGTGGGCACCCCTAGGCCCAAGGGTGGCCAAGGGCAGTGGGTGAAGGGACAGACAGAATTTGGACATGCTGGATGGGGTGTCTGCAGGCCTGTAGGCCAAGCCTCTTGCAGAGCAGCAGGAAGAAAAGGAAAGTGAGAAGAAAAGGTAAGAGCTGCCTCCATCGGCTGACTCTCCGCCCCTTCTGAGGAACACGTAGGATTATGAATTCTGAATTCAAACATGGCCTTCCAGGTCTCAGGACCGTATATTTGTCAGGGTAGGAGAATAACACCTCCTGTTTGACAGCTTGATTCGTAATTCTTAAACACTGGCTCATGCTATGGAGGCGGCCTTTTGCACCCCTGCCCTGGCCAGGCAAAGGTTAGGGTCAGGCCTGGATGGTGCCAGGGGCGCCCCAACCTTTATTACTCCATCGTCCAGTTGGTGCACTGGTGCGTTTTTAAGGGTTTTAGGCCTGTTGCCCACAGGACGGAGCTCAGGACGCTGTGTCCTTCGTCCTATTTATCGACCCGCCCATCCCTGCGCTCCTGGGTGAGCGCCAAGGAGCAGCCCGGCCAAGCCTACACTTGCCTGGAGCCGGGGCCGGCTCTGGGGGGCACAGAGAAGGGCCCACACCCAGCGCCACGTCCGGCAGCGGCTCGGCTCCCTGACGGTTTGGGGGATGCTGGGGGGGCGGTCCAAGGAGGCCCAGGGCTCCCGTGCCAGGCAAGGGGCCTCCGCGCGGGTCCGCGGGGACTCCCCACCCAGGGGCCTGAGCTCTGGGTACCCGCAGGTGGGTGCGGCGACAGGGACTCGACCACCAGCCCGGCCTCTGCCGCCCCTCCCGGCCCGCGGGCTGACCTGATGCCGTCCCGCTGCTGCGTGCGGGTGAGCGGCGCCTCGGACTCCGGCCGCCCCTCCCCGGCCGGCCCCCGGCTGCAGAAGCGCGCGGGGAGCCGGACGCTCGGGCCGCGCCGGAGCCAGCAGGGCCCCTTCGCCACCAGGGCCCGCGCGGCCGCCATGGCAGCGGACACAAGCCACCCAATCGCGACGGCCGCAGGCGCTCGGCGCTCCGAGGGCGCCGCAGTGGGCCGGGTGGCGAGCGATGGCCGGACCCAACTGCTAGGCCGGAACCAATTGCCGGGCAGGACCCAGGCCCCTCGGGGACGCTCCTCCCAGGCCGGACCACGCCGCGCCCCCGAACGCCCCGCCCCCGAACGCCCCGCCCCCGAACGCCCCGCCCCCGAACGCCCCGCCCCCGAACGCCCCGCCCGAGGTGAACGACCCCCACTCCAAAGCCGCAGACCGGACCGCGGTCGGTCTGGCTCAGCGAGGCCTGGGAAGCAGTGTAAGGGAGGCAGGAGCGGGGCGGCTGTTCCTTTTTGCATCGGCACCGGAACGTGGTGGTCTAGAGTCGTCAGGCGGGCAGAGGCCGCGCTGTGGCGCTGTGACTCCTCAGGATCCGCGGCGCCGCCGGCCGGGCGACCGCGGGTCGCAGGGGACGCTGACCGTGGCCTGCTCGGGTCCTGTCATCGAGGCCCGCGGGACCCACGTTTTGGATTAGGTTTCTGCCACCAAGCCGCATGGGGGTTTGAAATGGGAAGTAAGTTCATGTATAAAGCTGAACTTCCAGAACATTCGAGTCTGTGCACTGGGATTTGTATCTGCCCTCCTGGTCACGCCAAGTGCCACAGGCGGTGCAGAGCGCGCGGGATGACAAGCCCGATCAAAATGACCGCCTTCGCGGGCCAGAGTCCTCCTGGGAGGACATCTGTCACCTTACACCTGTCAGCTTCGCTGGGGGGCGCGGTTTGGTTGGGAGGAGGCGGAGCGACTGCCCGACACAGGAGTGTGAGAGGACAGGTGTGTGGGGTTTTGCGAAAAGGAAGGACCTGGGGGGACACCCAGAACCTGGGAGCCACAGATGAAAATGGAAAGTTTCAGAGACAGCTTCACCTGCGTCTCAGTTTTATTGAGTACTAATAACAACAGTGGCTCTTTGTGGAGCCCCGAGCTCTGTGCCTGTGCGTATGTCGTCTCTTTTAACTTCGGGATAACCCGTAGGCCGGCGTCATCATCCCGGCCCACCTGTTCACACCAGGCGCAGCGGCGGCGAGAGCCGGCTGGGCAGCAGGCCAGATGCTGGATGGTGCTGTGGGTGGAGGGTTTGGTCCTCATCTGAATTCCCCACCTGCTCTCCCATTCCTGTCCTGTCCTGTTCCTCCCCTAATGTCTTTCAGAGCTCGTGGCCTGGTTTGGGTTTGAGATCGGTGAACCGCAGAGGGAGGTGGAGCTGGGTGGCGTCACATCCCCAGGCAGGACACCGCCAGCCCTTCCCTAAGCAGCGCAAACTCTTTTCAAATTCAGCCTGCTTCTCCTGGCCTCCTCTGCCTCTCATTAATTTTTGCAGGGCTGCTTGCCTTTCTTCTCTCTTGTTCGGTGCCCTTCTAATCTATTTTCCACGCGGGCCTTCTCCCTGACACAATTTGATTGCTGGGTTGCTAGCAGGCTTCTCCCTGGCTTTGATTTATGTGCTGCTGTCCTGTGCCACATGTCTCTGCCGCACAGATGTGTCTCTGCTACCCTTTCACATTTCCTTTAAAGACCCGCAGATGCTTGGCAGAACGTTGCCGAAATCATGCAGAATGAAAAGACAGTTCCAGGGAGGCTGGGGTCTCAGGCTTCATGTAGGAATGCAGGGAGATTTAGACCTCCTCGGGGTGCAGAGAAGGAAAAGTGAAGTACAGGTTTTCAGCTTCTTAAGGTGTTTGAACTTTCTTTTTTTATATATATGGATTTCAGGCCCTTCTAAGACAGGCGTGTAATGACACGGTGCAGAGGTGCAGTGGGCAAGACGGAGGGGTTTATGTTCAGTGCAGATGCACGTAACTGACTCATGTTCTCACCTTCATCTTCCTCCCCACATCACCCTGCACCCACCCCCTAAAGCCATAGCAGAGTTGAGCACCCATTAACCAGAAAGCTTTCAGACTTTCATCGTTTCATACAGCCGAAGAGGCTCGGCAGCGTCCCGGTTTTATTATTTTATATTTTATTTGTGATCCACCAGCCATTACCCACATGCCTTTTGCAAACTTAAATTTCTTCCCAAGGACCCAGGCCTCAAGTTTGGTGAAATTAACATAGAAACCAAATGAGGGTTGGGGTGAAATTAACTTTCTTTTATCCCCACTTAGCATAGATCTTGAGTTCGCTCATGCGTCTTAAACAAAACAAACTCAGTCACTTCAGGTAAGGGATGGGTGGAAGTGTAATATAAACTGATAAGAGAGACGTGTTTCATGGCATCGTAGTTACAGATAACATTTGGATGAGCTTGAAAAGTCGAAGGCTCTTAATAGTGGCAGCGACAGAGACCTTCTGGAGGGCAAGACATCATTTGGCAGAGGATCGCTTAACTCTGGCTTCATTACCTGATGTTAAAGAAGGACAGCTGTGCGGAGGCCAGAGACATGTCACCAGTCGCCATTCACAGACCCTTGATGAGGAAGGGGCAAGAGACCAATGATGGAGCCAAGTCCCAAAGCCACGGCAGGGCTCGTTCCTATCCTCCACACCTGCAGCTGCATCTTAGTGACAGGCACCACGTCTCACCATAGTTATAAACCTGTGACACAAAGGGAAGGTTCAATTATGTTTCAATGATTCAAGACGAGAGGGAAAGCAGTTGGCATTCTGGCATTGATCAGGTTAACCTGCAGCTAAATGGAATATTCCACTGTGCAGAAGAGCCCAGGTAGTGGTGGGGGGAGGGGAGGAGGGAGGGGTGACTTCCTGCTTGGTCAGTGGGAGGAAGGGATGGGCAGGCTCAGCTCTTGGCAGTGTCTAGATGACTAGGTTGATGACCTTAGCACGTTCCCTCTGAGCCTGTCTCCTCATCCCCTCGATGCCCACAGAGGTCAAGTTATTTTAGGGACTCCTTTGCCTTCTTGTGTTTCCCTCTTAGTCGGAGCTGCCTAGGGCTCTGGGTGTCTTGCCTGCCTTTCCTCTCCTCCATCCCCACCTCAGGTAACCCTCGATCCTTCCACGCACCCCACCTCCTAGGGCATCTTTTCTGCCATTTCCCCCAAAACTCAGTTAAAAGTTGGAGAATCACGGTGTAATGAAACGCCCGCTGCTGCCTCTATCTGGGTCTCATCCCGGCTCCCCAGGGTTGACAGTGCCCAATCCCAGCCCATCCTCTGCCCTCTTTCCACCATGCTTCTTCCTTTGATTCAGCCAGTGGCCCTCCTTTCGTGAAAGCCATGCAGGCTCAAAGCTTTCCTGTCCCCTGGAGCGCCCTCTGACCCGTGCCTTCTCCCTCGAGGGGCCCTTCCATCCCGGGAGTTGGGTGAGGTCCTTTCCACACTGGGTCCTGGCCTTCCTTTCCTCTCAAGCCTGTGTCCCATTCCTGTATTCCACGGGACCATCGCAATCGCCTCCTGCTTTGGCCTCCTTGCCCCCAGCCTCCCCCCGGATGAACCTTCCAGCAGCAATTCTCTCCACCCCGTGGACACCTGCCCGGCTGCAGCCACCACGGTCTCACCTGGCAGCTGCAGGAGGCTCCTAACCGGTGTCCCAGAGCTGCCCATGTCTCCTTCCCGTGCATTCTCCGCTCGGTGCCCAGCGATGTTTCTAAATTGTAGACAGGATCCAGTTGCTCCTCACGGCACTTAAAACCCAGGCTCATTGTGGTGTGCGTGAGGCCAGCGTGGGCTATTGTCCCTTTCTCTCTGGACTCCCCTGCCACCTCCAGCTTCGCTCCTCCCCTCCTCTCACACCAGGCTTCTGCCTGTCCCCATAACCTCTCCGTGTCCCTCCTTTTCAGCTGTATTGGCATATGATTGACAAATAACAATCGTGCATAATCAAAGTGCACAATGTGATGTTTTGATATACACTGTGACACGATTACCCCAATCAGGCTAATGAACGAACCCACCGCCTCACAGAGTTGCCGCTGTTTGTGTGTTATGAGAACACTTAAGACCTAGTCTCATACATATTTCAAATATGTAATACACTATTATTAACTAGAGTCACCGGGCTGCGCAGATCTCCAGAACTCATTTGTCCTGCGTTACTGAAATTCTGTGCCCTTTGACCAACCTCTCCCCAGTCCCCCAGCCCCGTGCCCCGGCAGCCACTATTCCAGTCCTTTGACCTCCGCAAACTCCTTCCTTCTTCAGGGCCCTTGAAGGGGCGTGGAATTTTCACCTCCCAAATCTTCACGTGGGCATCGCCCATGTATCCTTCAGGCCCCAGGTCTGATGTCATTGCCTTAGGCCTTCCCTGACCCCCAATCTCAACTAAGTCCCAGCCCCTCATTATTCTCAAATAGGATCCTGTTTTTTCTTCATCTGCCTAATCATCATGTTAACCATGCATTTATTTGTATGTGTAATACATATATTTCTTTTCTTTTTTTTTGAAACAGAGTCTCACTCTGTTGCCCGGGCTAGAGTGCCGTGGCGTCAGCCCAGCTCACAGCAAATTCCTGGGCTCAAGCGATCCTCCTGCCTCAGCCTCCCAAGTAGCTGGGACTACAGGTATGTGCCACCACACTTGGCTTATTTTTTATGTATATTTTTTTAGTTGTCCAGCTTATTTCTTTCTATTTTTAGTAGAGACGGGGTCTCGCTCTTGTTCAGGCTGGTCTCGAACTCCTGAGCTCAAACGATCCACGCGCCTCGGCCTCCCAGAGAGCTAGGATTACAGGCGTGAGCCACCGCACCCGGCCTTGTGTATTTCTTTATCGTCTCTCTCCTGACTGCGCTGTGAGTTGTGAGAGCGGAGCAGGTGTGTGTTTTCTCACCACTGTATACCCAACGCCTCACACCTGGCGCGGATAAACACGCTGATATTTGTTGAACGAGATTGTTGGATACATCAAAAATATAAATGAGCATCACTCTCTGTTTACATACCTTTGCTGGCTCCTCCTGTATCGCCCAGAGAAGTGCAAGTTTACAGTTTGACACACAAGACCCCGTTCAAATCCTAACTCATGTTTTTCTCCTTCTCGAATCCATGCTTCGGACACCCTAACCCCCTTGCTAGTCCTCCCCTAGGCCCTGCCCTTTTCTGCCTTGCTAATTTGACCTTGCTGCTGCTTAAAATATTTCGTGGGTGAGTGA